TATGGCCCTGTTTCTCACCTAGTACTTCTCTACTCCCAATGCCTGCTGTGATTGGGCCAGGACCTGGTATCCATCAGACTGAGTTCAACTTTAGTGCAACCTCTCTCGTTGCAGACCCGACCGCTGCTTTCTCTCTTTCTTTTTTTTTAACAGACCCACTTCCTAAATGGATAGAGAAATAAGTTCAAATAACAGAAATGGTTTCAAAGTAAATTGAAATTGTTACTGACTGTTTAAAAAAAAAAAAACAATTGTTACTGACAGTGTGCATGCTTAATTCTCCCTGGGCCTGGTCCCATCAGCAAAGAGTACTGGATTTTTTATGTCTGAATCGGGACGTGCTTTTCTTTAAATTTCTGCATCTCTGCGCACAACCTATCCAGATTCAGGAATTACAAATTGGATCCTCTTTGCTGATGGGACCAGCCCCGCTGTTTCTGTATTTTTGTAGTTTCGGAAATTCTCTGTTCTTCATGTGCTCTTTACTGTTGGCACCGTGACCGGCTGCAGCTTGCACAATCATTTCTTTTTTTTTTAAGGGCGATGCCCCTTCAGATATCATCCTTGAACTGTTTCCCAAAAAAAAAAAAAAAAAAAAAAAAAATCTTTGAAGTTGAACCGACCGGCCCCAGGTAGATTCAGAGTTATGTTCAGACTCTTCAGATTACATTCCATTGGAATTTGAGCTCGGGCGGGGTCCGCATTTTAACAGTTCGCAGGAGAACCAAGTGAGCTAGGCCAGTTGGTTGGCTCTGGCAAGCACACTTACTATTATAGTTTTACTTAAAAGTAATAACAATTTGAAAGTTATTTGAACTTATTTCCTCGTTTTTTTTCACAAAAAATTTAGTTAAAAAAAAAAGCCTTATAAAAAGAGCCACGGCCATACACAGATATATATTTGTATTAGTATATACAGTATTTGAAGTTCGTTCACAATGGTTGGGTTGGGGTTTGAACCCACGCACACCGCGTCTGAGTTCACTGGAACTTGGACACAGGCCTGTAGTTGAACAAGTTGCAGAACTCGTGGGCTTAGCGACGGAGCATAATACGAGTCTGCAACTCTATTTTTAAATTTTGAAACCCTTTTTTTTTTTTTCGTTTGCTTCCCACCTCCAGTGCGTCATTTTTCCCGGGCGCAAAGTTTTTTTTTTTACCACAGGCGGGAAGGGCGCACAGGCGGGCTGCACTTGCCGTGAAAATTCCACGTCCACCCAGCAGTACCAAATTGATCTAGACTGCCACGGTACTTATACGGTTATACAACTTATACCCCTGCCCAAGTCCCAAGGTGTCTGTGTACCAATCCCTTCGAGCCATTTGGAGGCAAAGAAATTAATATCTGGTCAGAAATGAGGGTACTATGCCATCACTCCAACAGATTTTCCACCAATAGATATTCCACAAGTATACTCCTCAGAAGACCCTCAAGCATTATGATATTGTTCTGCTGGATTCAATTTGGGCAAAGAAGATCAGAACGGCTAATTCTCTTCAACTTGAAGCTGCTGTCAAGTGGCTCCCATGGCGGTGGTCGGCATGCCCCTCTCTGGTTGCAATCGATTCACGTACAGGGGATATCGTCTCTCTCTGGTGTCAAACTGCAATGCTTTCATGTAACAGGGTAATATCGTCTCTCTCTGGTTGCAGTCTATTCATGCACACGGGTTATTGTTGTCTTCTCTCTGTTTGCAATCGATTCACGTACAGTGGATATCTTCTCTCTCTGGTTGCTATCGATTCACGGACAGGGGATCATATCGTCTTCAGCCCTTTTCTTCAAGAGCCACCATAATCTGTGCTTGTTAGATGCCTGACAGTTTAGGTAAAACTACTGTTTTCGTTGTGACAGTCTTTCAATTGGGCCAGGCTTGTTTCGAGGTCCGGGTAGTTATTGTGATTTTTAAGGGTGGGTCTGTTATTTTTAAGGGGGGGTCCTGGTAGTTATCACTTTTAAGGGCGGCCCTGTGCCTTAAACCGCCAGTCCTTCCTAAAGTCGTGCCCGTTAACAAGCCACGATTTTAGGAAACGTACGGGTCACTACAGGAGCGCCCAAATTCGTCCGACTAGAAGCGTTTCTACTCTTTTCTTTCCCCATGGCCTAATATAGCTATCAAATCAAAGGCTAAGTAACATAAAGGTAATGTATTGGACTGCAAATCCACGAATGATGGTTCGAATCCGTCCTTCGGCTGGGCCTAAGGACTGGTGATAAGAGCCACTTCTTTTCTGGTATTGGCAGATGTCAGACCGTGGGTGAACCTGCTCGGTCTTTTGTCGTTATTCTGTCTGTTTTTGTTTGCGCCTTCGGTGTCAGGTGCTCAAGTACTTGGTGGGTTAGTCATGTCTTTTCTTGAGTGACATTTTGCTTTTCTTTCTATACCTCCATCACAGGGGTGAGGCAGGCTCCACCGTCGCATCATATTTGTTAGTAAGTTTTTGGTTTACACGACTTCAAGCAAATAAAGCAGCTATTATAGCCTATTAAAGCAATGCATGTGAATCGAGTAGGTGATTTTGGATTAGTTCTTGGTATTATGTTATGGGTTGTTACGCTATTTTTCAAACACTGTCAGTAGACTTTCAACCGTTTTTGCTTGTGCGAGTGTCTTTGTGTGGGAACCTTCTTTGATCAAGCTCTTTTTTTTTTTAATTAAATTCATTTAACAAAAATAGGAATCAAAATCATGGCTATTCTTGCGGAGAAGTTGTTTCTATTTCTGGTATTATCAGGTCCAGGACCCCCGTAAATTAAATTCATTTAACAAAAATAGGAATCAAAACCACACAGTTGTTTCTATTTCTGGTATATAGCATATAGCTACAATATTAGAGGATCGTGGTATGTAAGACCACGATTTCGAAAACTTTGCGACCCCCGTATATGTCACTTTGTACATGTATTGCCTTCAGCACTGGGTCCAATAATAAAACCATTTTTATTTTATTTTTTCGGGGTGGGGGGGCGGGGATATTGACCTAGACTTCCTTTTTCCTTCTTTCAAATTGGCCTGAGCTTCAACTTCGGCCTTGACCAAATGAACTTACCGCAAACGATTTTTTTTTTTTTTTCTACAACGAAGTTGAACAAACAAAAATTTCGCAACTCTACAAATAAAAACGGAAGAAGAAAAATGCAAAAAAAAAAAAAAATCACCAAAGCACTGCCACTTCTCGAGCAATCCTGATAGACACTCCAGGAGTCCAGGGGAAATTTTTGATGTCAAATCAAAGGCAAGAATAAAAACTGCTCTGTCGTGCTGAGCCTATTTGGAAATTCTGCAGCCTCTCCAACCCCACATCCATCACACCATTTCTGCCTCTGAAGCAGAGCAGAGGCACACACCTGCTACTGAACATACATGCACACAAGCTCTCTCTCTCTCTCTCTCTCTCTCTCTCTCTCTCTCTCTCTCTCTCTCACACACACACTCACACACACACACACACATACACACATTTTCCTCAGGGGTATACACACACATTTTCCGCAGGGGTATTGCAAACTCTCAGCGACATGGAAAGTCATCCGTCGTTCAAACGCATCCTGGGCAGACGGTTGCGATTCAAAATCCTGATGAGTTGGTGAAAGTCCGACGAAACAACTTTCCACGGCCGTGGAGTCATGTATAGGCAACATGACAACACACACAGGTGTACACCAGCACATGCACGGACAATGGAACAAAAAGTCACAGTTGGGGAGTCGTGTATATAGCGGGTCGAGTATATACTATATAGCAAACATGAAACAACATGCAAACAGGGTACACACACACACAGTCCGACGACACAGTCTGGCTTAGTCATGCTCTTTTTGAGTGTATACAGTGTATAGCGAATATGACAACACACGCACGAACATGTACGACTACTCAAGACTGTGGAATTGCTATTAACAGGAAAATGTACAAAGCATCCAACATGTCACCTCCAGAGATCCTTTTTCAATATCATTTGCAAGCAAGGAATTCCTATTGGCTTTGCAATATTTTTCCGAAAAGATCCTTTGCGGGAACAAGACTGTTGAGCTCTGTTTTAACTGCAAAAATGCTCGATAACACAACTGCTTGCTCATGTCAGAAAGGCATGATGCATTTTTCAAACTGGGCAAAAAGGTGGGTGCACCTTGCACCGGTACAATGTCAGTAAGAGCAATTCAGAGAAGTAAGCCTCAGGTTCTCTCTTCCTTTTGATGGCGACGGATAAGAGTACCCCTGCTACCCCATCGTTTTCGTAATTTGTGGCATTAAGGCTACCATATTTCTTCATCAAGACCATCTCCACAATAGGGTACCCCTACTAACCCATTGTTTAGGTAATTTGTGGCAGTAACGCTACCCCTCCATTTGTTCATCGGGAGTCGAAGACCATCTCCACAATAGGGTACGTCGTTGCACTGCGACTAGCTCCATTCGTCACCGTAAAAACACCGCTCCAATGGCCAATGCAGTTGAATGCACTGTTCATTTTTCTTGTCTAGGCCCAGCACCGCAATTATTTTTCCTCGGGGCAGGAATCTAGTCTATACCTTAAGCTAAATGCGACTTTTGGTTTGTCAAAACAGGTCCCGATGCAATAGCGGTTTAAGCGCCAGGTAACTCAAACCAGTAAAGGCTGAGGTTATTTTGACTTCTGAAATCACCAATACATTGCCCAGGCAGACTTGAGAATCAAAACCGACGCCGACGCATTCCGAAAAAAGTTGAAAAAGTTTGGAGGCTCGAGATCAATGGACCGAAACGGTTGTTAGCAGTGCCAGCCAAAAGAAAAGGAAAAGCAACGTGCTGGCGTTTCAGCAAAGCTTGGGGGGCAGCAGGGCGATATCGCCTGAGCAAACGAAGGCTCGGACGTACTGTGCGGTTTTAACCGCCAGTACACGGCCCCAGCCTTGTGGAGATATCTTTCATCACCTACGAAAATTTTGGAAGCTCGAGGCTAGCGGACCACAATGGCTGGCAGTGCCAGCCGAGAAAGGAAAAAAGTTTGCCGCTGCAAATTTCGGCAAAGCTTGCGGCGAAGTGGAAGGCCGCCTGGCCCGCCAGTTGTACCGGTGGTTTCAGGGTGAGGGCAAAGATGAATAAAATAGGAAAAAGGGGTTACTAAATGCCCATTGCGGCTGAAAAAAGAGCAGCGGTTTCAAGATCCGAAACGAAAAAACAAGCAGCTGTTTCAACATCGGAAACGAAAAAAACAAGGCAGTTTCAAGAAAATGTCACACTGTAATATTCTTTCTACCGCCTGCATGCCCACCTACTCACTAAACTTGTTAAATGCCAACAACTCCATGTCTGCGCACATCGCAAATGGTTCTAGATCCCCAACGTACTGCAAGTTCGCCACGTCAGTGCCGCATCAACACCACATCACATTCATCCTCAACACACCACCTCTACGCCCCTGTCATGCCTCTCCTTTTCTGCTTTCTGTCCCCCTCTCATGCCTCTCATGCCACCTCAAAAAATGTTAAATGCCAGGCCATCGCTCATCATTGTCACATCACCGCCACATCATCCATCGCCCCATTCCCAGAATTCAACTCATTGCAAGTTCGCCACGTCACCACCACATAACCTCTCATGTCGATGACGCTACTGTCATGGCTCCTCAATGGTAATGGTGCATGCCAATGATGCCGTCGCTCGCCACCGATACAACATCACTGACATACGATATACCGAATTTTGAATAGTGTGGGCCTCCACGTTCTTTTGCAAGCAGAATCCCAAGTACCAGATGCAACATCTTTTTTTTTTTTTTTTTTTTTTTTTTTAATCATTTCTCGATTTATGCGTGTCATCCTTGAAAGCGCAGGGGCCCATTTTGCTAATCACCCTTCTCTCTATGGTTCCAATTTTAACGGATGTCCTGAATGACAGATGCAACATCTTGAGTCCCTCTCCATCCCAAGAAGCAGATGCAACACCTTCCTTTCCCTGTCGTGACTGTCAGCACCTCACCATCGACACATCCACTCTCGTGCCACCTCAATGTTGATCTCTTGTAAGCACCCGCCATCACATCATCCGTCGAGAGTGGCCATACGGTACAACAAATTAAAATGAAGACTTGGCTTTAAGAGCAGAATCCAAGCAGCAGATCTCTACCACTTCCAGCCCCCCTCGTCAACAACAGGCAAACATCCCCACGCCTGAAAAAGGTTTGAAACTCTCAAATCAGGGATATACAGGCGTTGCTCTTCTCGATGTAACCATTGGAAGCAAGTGCCGAATCATCATACCATACGCGTAACCACCGAAAATCCTGCCAGCAGGTGTGACACTTGTCGTGCAACAATACTACAGCAGCCTCCTTGCCGACGACGAAGATGAAGAAGAACCATGCAAATCCGATGGCAGGCAATTGCAAGAGCTACTCGGTCGCTTGAGCACACCACGAGCAGAAAATCCGTCCAGCACATGTGGCAGTCTTCATGCATGGTACTACAGGAGCCTCCTCGCAGATGAAGAAGCAGCACCACACAACTCTGATGACAGTCGCGAGAGCTAGTTTGTCGCTTAACCACGCCATGAACCGAAAACATTGTGACCTGGCAGCTGAAGAAAGAGAACAATAGGAGACCTTTTTTTGTTTTATTTTCACCCGCATGCTGAAAGTGCTCGAGACAACGTCCCGCACCATTGGGTGGTTGCAATCCGATGGTCTGAAACCAGACCTTGCATTCCATTTCCAAGGTCTCACATGCATCCTCCCCCCTTTTCCCACCTTCAACATGCCCATCCCAACACCCTGGCGATAATGTCTTTGCCATTCCTCCCTACCGTGCAAATAGGGGAGGCCCAGACCTCCCCTATTTCATCCATATCTGGCAACCGTTGGTTTGCGAATTCACCCTTTCAAGACGCCCAGTGGGCCAGTTTCACACCAACTCTCTCTGAGGGAAAAAGCCTGACATCCTCCTGCGTTACTGGAGCGGATCGATGGACGTCTACATATACAATCTCCACGCAAGTCACTTCTCCCGTCCTCACTCTGGCACCGGAGAAGTTAGGTATCGCTGAACGGCATGATACAGCATCTGCCTCTCTTCGAGAGGTCGCGTAGGAAGGCCTTTACGAAACTGCTTCTGGTACAGTTCGAGAGGGAAATAAGCCACGGAAACCTTCCTGCCACCGTACAAACGACCTTGTAATGCATGTGCTGCCTTTCGCGCCGATTCCTCGCGTGTGAATTCGACGAATACCTTCCCTACACCAAGCTCGTCGTCCACCTTCTCTGCAGCAAGCGGATCTTGTTTTACCTCAACCGTCGGTTTCTCTGCCGGAAGCACGCCGGCTTTTGTCTCGACAGCGCTGCTGTTGCTGACTACCCCTGTTGCTTTCTCTGCTTTCATGCCGTTCTCCGTCCCTCTCTGCGTCGAAGAAACAACACTTGTCTGCTTCCGTTCGTCATCATCCTCCCTTTCCACCTTAGTCGTCGCCATCGTCGTCGTCTTCTGCACCTCTGGAACCACCCCATTCTCCATTTTCGTCGCCACCGCCTTGCTGCTCTCCGAACTCGGCGCCTTTGGTGCACCCACCTGCGCACCTGCAAGAGCACTATTAGGCAAAGGTGACTTTTCAGCGCAAGATACCTCCTCCGCAGTCGTGCTTTGCTCTCCCTCTGCTCCTTTCGCTTTTTCGCTCTCTGCATCCATTTTTACTTCAGCGGGACTGATGCCTTGCCCGTCGTGCGTTGTCTGTTCTGCAGTTGAGTTTGCGTCAACGTCCATTGCCTTTGCGTCTGCTTTAGCATCACCCTCCTCTCCGTTCCCTGCCTTTGCATCCTCGTTGTCCTTTCTCAACTTCCCATCTTCAACAGACTGACTCTGCTCTTTTCCTGTTGCCTCCTCTGCCTGCTGTGTCTCCTGGGCACCAGTTGAAGGGACCGCTGGGACAGCTTCCATATCCATAGCTACAGCTCCTTCCTCCTTTCCCGACTGCGCTCCAGGCTCCGTACGATTCAAACCTTCCTCTTGCTTTCCCTCCTCCTCGACATCAATCTCCCTCCTGTTGTCCTCTTTGGCATCCTCCTCCATGCGTACAATTCCTACATTCTCCTCCTCGGGAAGAGCATCCTTCTCCACATGTGCCGATGCTGGATTCTCCTCCTCCTTAGGAGTCTTCTCAAGACCCTTTTTCTCATCGTCTTCCTTCTCCTCGTCATCATCCTTCATCGCCTCCTCGTCCTTTCCATCCTGACCGCTTTGCTTCTCCTTTTCGACCTCCTGTGTCTCCGGCGTCACCATACCTGCCTCATCATCCTTACCCTCTTCATCTCCTTCGTCTGTCTTGCCCTCGACCTTCCCTAACGCCTTCTCCCCCTCCTCAGCAGTGTCTTCCTTTCCACCTGCGTCGCCGTCGTCTGATGTTTTGCTTAGGCAGTCTTTGCTCCCACTGGAGTCGACATCAGTTGGCTTTTGCTTCTCCTCCTGATCCCCTCTCACGCCTTCTGGTTCCTGTTCGTCTCCTTCTCCATTCTCCCCATGACTCTTGGTATCTCGCAGGTCCTGGCTTCCCACGGGATCATCCATCGCTACGTCTTTCACATCTGCTGCTGCTTCGACGACACCCTTTTCGTCATCTTGCAACTTCACCTCCCCTCCATCCTTCTCGTCCGTAGTTTTTTGTTTGACATCCTCTTCTGCACTCCCAACGCCATCCCCAGCGGCGGGCATTTCTCCCACTTCTCCTTTCGATTCCTTCTCCTTCTGCTCTGAGCGCACGTCCTTATCACCATGACCAGTCTTTGCTGGTTGGTTCCCCTTCTCGTCTCCGCTTTTAGCATCATCTTTTTTCTTACCGTCCTTACCACCGGTGTCCATTGGCGCTACAACGCCAACGTCCATTTTTTTCTGGCCACCGACGACTGCAACCGCCTCCTCAGTGGGCTTCTTCTTGTCCTGCAATCCTGCGTCACTGCCTCCCTTGTCTCCCGCTTTCTCTTCAACCAGAGCCTTGTTGGATCCATTGGCCAGGGTGGCCGCCTCCTTAGCGGGCACAAGCTTGGCCTTGGAATCTTTGCCAGCTGCCGTGCGAGCTGCCAAGCCAGGCTTCTTATCTGAAGGCAAGGGCTTTATAATGTGCATAGATCGCACTGTTCCAAACCTGTCGCGGCGAGGGCATTCACGCAAACGCAAAATGCAGGAATCAGTCCCATCATGCAAGAAACCAGCTGGCACAGAGACATTCCCTTGGCAAAAGGGACAAAGGACGGCAGCATGGAAGTCCACGGGACCCGATTTTGGGCCCAGAAACGGGACAGAAGCTACCTGGAAATAGCGCCTTTCACTCGTTCGGAGAAGATTTTTGGGAAAAAAAAAAAAAAAAACATAAGACTGAAGCCACCGATGACAAAGTTGGAATACCCAAAAGACAGAAGACGAAGAAGACTGGAAAACTAGGAAAAAAGCAACACTGCGCTGGCTGTGTTAATAACAAAATCAATCGGTTATTCCTTTCGTCCCAGCAACCGACGCAACAACACGCTTACCTTCTTCCCCCAAATACAACATACGGTCATTATAGCTGCATCTAGACTGAAAGGTGCCTCAAATACAGCTATAATGACCGTACATCATATTCGACGGAAGAAGGTAGTGTGAGACTTGACAAAATGGATCGTGTGCGAAGCTTAAACACAACGGAGAGTAATGCGAAACTTCACATGAGCTTACCGTGAGCATTCAATTCGGATGTCATCAGCAAATTCAAATAGCTGCGCCTTATCCATAGCTGCAACTTCCTCTTTCGTTATCTGCGGTTCCACAAATTGCACGGCGGACCACACAGTTCACATGTCAATTCCAAATTGCCTTGTCCAATATGAGAAACAGACAAAAATGCATATGCCTCTTGAGGATTTTCAGTGCAATGACTGCACTGACGACCGCTTAATGCTTGCGCTTATTCGCATTAATGATTGCAAGGCTTTAGGGGGGGGGGGGGG